TCTAAAATTGATGGGTTCACGGTATCCCAATCAGAGTAGCTTTACTTGAGACGTCTTTCGGTGTTATGTATTCATGTTACTACGACTTTATACCCTTTTCCCCTGAATTGGCATTGCGAGTGCAATGATCAAAAGGCGCCTGAGCTTGGCGGCCACAGTTGGCTGAGTGTCGAGTGCTGAAGTGTTTTGTTTTGTACATATTTTTTTAGTTTTGGTTCAGACAACTCCAGTCGGGATTGCTCCTCTTGCTCCAACTGCTGCCCAACTGGTGCTAGTGACCTTTTCACTTTTGTTTTCGTTGCTGCCTGACTGCCTGCTTACTGCCAAGTTGCAAAAAAATAAACCAAGCTGCCCAGTTTCCATGCTACTTCAAGTGTTGCGGCTTCTTGTTGGGAAGCTGAAGAGGCGGAGACTACGGCCTATAATGGGTACCAAATCTGCGGCACCGAGCAAAATATTCGATCTATATTCAGAACTTTACATTTATTTTAATGATCTGTTTAATTAAAAAACTCGAACCCAATAATATTAAAAAAAACCTATTTTCAACCAGTTTTTAAGAAAGTAAATATGTTTAATAGCAACTATTATAAAATGCAGTTCTTCCGAATAATAAGGTTCTTATTCTTTTCAATGTAAGATTTTCTAATCGATCATACAATATTAATGATCATGTTTATTTACCAAATAGGGTAATATTTTTCTCAGTATATCAACATCTGCTCCGTCGTTCGTTGCTCGATTAATGAGCTGCAGTCCGGCACTCAACTCTCGCCTCTTCAACTCCTCTCAGTTGTGCAAAATCTTTTACTCAGTTTTTTTTTGGCCAGGTTATTAAGAGTTTTGCTGGCGGCTTTAAAGATTTGGCTAAGGTCAGTTGAATGGAGGAAAATGCTAGCCAAGTGAGCAATCGACAGAAAGGTCATAACCGCAATTGACGGAGTGCTGTGAAGAACCTTGCTCTAGGGTCGAGACTGAGACTTTGATGGGTGTAACCAAAGAGCACGATTACCTGGTGAGGTGGGTCTTAAATGTCTGCGGTGAATGTAGACTAGGGAACCTGGGGTTTTTCTAACTTACTTAACGACCGATGCGCATGTCAAGTTGTGTGGGAAATGAGGTAATCTACGTACAGAGTGGGCATTTTTAGTGGTTAGCAGATCCAAGATCTCCTCGGTTTTGTTTCTCAGTCACGCACCTATCTAGATCTTTGGCAACCTGTCTAATTAGTAACTCTAACTGCATTCGATATCTGAATGGCTGTATCTGCGGCTGAAAAGCACTTCCAGGCATTGTTCAATCGCTGGTTTGGCCAGCCATTAGAACACATTTGGGCAATGGTATGCCTCAATGCCCAGCACTGTACTTAAGGCCCCTCTCTAGTGAAATCTTCAATCGGTCGAACATATATGGGTTGCCCAACACCATATAATTTTGTAGTTTAGTTGAGCTGCTTCGATGTTGGCCATTTCACACTTCGAACGAGAACGAAACAAGCTAGTATTGCACTGAGAAAAAAATATCTGCTTAATATTACAAACAAATACTTATTGGAAATCTTTTCAAAACGACAAGCTACTTTTTCTTTTAGTTCATTTTTCAATGACTGATGAAGTTCGTAAAATATAAACAATCTTACGAATTATGCAAGGAACTAAGAAATTTTCTATGAAACCAATAAAAAAATCTTCCATTCTTTGCTAATAAATTTAGCTATTCTGAGCTTCCAAGCGTTTTTAATTAGGAAACCTGATTTTTCCAAGTGCATGGCCCGCATTCCTGGTCAGGTAAATTGCATTGAAACATTGCAGCATCCACTGGCAAATGTCAGCTTATAAGTTAAGTCATTTTGTGACTTGGAGCTCTGCAGCAGCAAAACAGCAAATGCAACTGCAACTGCACAGTTCAAAGTTATTTTGTACAAATAAATTGTTTATGCTTTTCGATTTTATTTTGCCTCGGCCAGAGTACGTGCCATGAGATGTTTTTTTCCGTGCGAGGTGAGCCGGCGACTCTGACCAGTCCAAGTGCGATTGGAAGTCGGGGCCTGAATCTGAATCTATATGCGAAGCTGCGGCCAGCTGCCTTCCGAAGCAGTTAGCGGGTGGATTATGGCAGTTAGACATTGCGATTATGGCCTTACATGAGCATACAACTTGCTACAGTTTTGCCAACTAAATTCTGAGTCATATTTGGAAAACAGAAGATCAAGAGGAGCTGGGTGGTTATGACAATCAGCGATCGGTCGTGTTTGGGTCGAGGTGGACTGGGCTGATTAGATGGCAACAGACTGAATAGATTCCACCGATTCTGTCCGATTAAGCCATCGATCATTGTTGACATTTCAGCAGATCGTGGGTGGATAAAGGCACGTCTGTATTTTAATTGACTTTTGATTCATGACATGTACAATCTCCCGTTCTTTCAACTGGTTTCTCATTACCGCATAGCCAACTTTAATTACTTTTGCATTGTGTTACATTCTATGGCTCCTTTTGTTATGCGAACGAAAATTGATCAGTCATGGATTCGAGAGTTCTCTTTAAATTTATTTATTACCACTTATTGATCAAGATAATGGTTTTAATTGACTTAACATGTGATACAAAAAATGTTTAATAGTGTATAATAAACAACAATATTTGGAACTAGTCTGGTCATAAAAATTCTTTAGTTCATTTAATTCTTAGATTTTGAAACCATGTTAGGAAATATCAATTATATCGATTTATAATTACGAACATTTATAGGCTTGAAGTAATTATCAATAAATTATGTAATAGTTACCGGAGGGTATATTAAATAAAGATATTTCTGACTAAAAAAAAGTATTCGTTAAAAATTCAAATTTAACATTTTTTTTATTTTTAGAATTCAGGAGTACCAAAAACTAATAAGAGTTAAGCATTTTCATTTGCTTTTTAAATTTGTTTTTTAAATAATTCTTTTTGTTTAAACATGATAAGCTAGTAAATATTTTAGGAATATCAATATGACGAATTATGCACAACTCAGAAAACCTCTTCATGGTAAACTTATGATAATTTGTTAACTTTTAAATAATTCTAGAAAGGCTATTCCACCAACATAACATTAATCTTCAACTTCACATGATCACTCAACTGGGGAATGATCTCAGAGTAGTCTGCTGCCAACCATAATCAACTTTTAGCACCTTGAAAGAAGATCTTAGAAAAATTCTGCCACTCGCCTTATCCACTAATAACTCGTTGATATTTACGCACATCTTAAGATCATCAAAGTAAGATTTTATTATTTTTTAGTTTAATACATGAGCTGCATTTAAATCTTTTTACTAAATCTGCTTGTCATCGAAGCAATTATTCCATCAATCAGGCCTACAAGAGATCTCAGCATCTGCACAATCATCAAACGCCAGACGGTGAATTCTTGTTTGCACTTTGTCTATGTTCCACCTGTTTGCTCATTTGAATAAATTTGTAATTAATGCAGCTACCAGATTTTCAGATTTTCAGATTTGTGTTTCACACCAGCAAACATTCATTCGATGATGATCGCAGCTCACACGAGAACCGCACTTTTGTCACTTTTCCACGCTTTTCGGATTCACTTTGCGGTCGAGATTTTTATTTTATTATTTGCAGGGCAACCGCGAATGTTTATGGATATGAGAATGTGAGTGCTCGACATTCATGTTATGTTAATCAATGTTGATTGCAACTTTATTTTTTTCGCTTCCATTTTTTTTCTATAATTAAGTGCAAACTTCAAAATTAATTAAAGTGACTTTGGTTTGCTTTGCACATTGCAATTTGGGCTTGTTGCACTGTAATTACGAGCGTCTTAATTTGCATAAAAATTTCGTTTGGCAAGCATTTGTCGGGCATTTTTCAACACAGTAATAATTGTGGGAGGCTTCTTGGTTTTTTCCAGTTTTAATTTCTTCAAATTTTGAAGTTTGTTCGAACACAGTCATTTTTGGGGTTGATCACATATCACTTAATTAATTTATAAAAAATTATACGCTTTGGCCATAATTGAGGACCATATTTTCCCCAAGAAGAAAAACTCACGGCTTACACTTATTGTGGATCTATTGAAGATTTATTGAACCCGCTATTTTTGAGCCGCATCCGCGCGATCGGCTGCCAAAAAACCGACTGAAAGATACAACCTCGACTGAAGAAGCCAAAAACATAAAGCTTCTCTTTTCGATTCTTCTGTAAGAGTCCAACACGAAGCTCACCTCAGCTCGGCTTGGCTTTCGGTTTCGATTTGATTTCGCTTTCAAGCTCAAACCACGGATCAGGTCTCAAATCGCCGGCACTTCGAGTTTCTCTCTTAAAACCAGCTCTAAACACTCTTAAAAAATGCACTTTACCTCTTTTTTTCTTCGATCACTTGAAGTCATTGGTTCACTGTGTCGCCTGCTATTTTTTCTTTTATTTATTTTTTCGGCTTTGCAGGCAATACTTTAATGGCTCTTTGCAACGTGACGTTTAAGTTATGATGAGATTGTTTTGCCTGACTTTTATGCGGTCGTATGTGTGCGGAATGAAGCGTGCCCAGCGGCTTTAAAGAATGTTTTAATGTTGGAGTTGTGACAAAAAAAAACTGTCGTTACTGGTTGTCGGTCTTGTGTAGTTTTGCTGCGATCGTTTGGGCTGAGGTTTCTGCAATTGGCTTATGGAAATTTCGCACATGTGGGTGACAACTTCGACTGCGAAGTGGGTTAAGTGGAAACAGCAGATGAGTCATGGAATGCCAAAAAAGGTAGAGCCCTTTAACAATCGCATACGTAATGCAGTTAGAAAATAGGTAGGTAAATTTAAATAAAATCTCTAAAAATAGTTAAAAGTAAATATGTATATCCTATTTATCAGAACTATTAGAAGAACACTTTTATTTATTTAATTTAATTTTTGTATAACTTGTGCTTAGCAAATTATAGAAATTCTGTGAGACGCACGTACTTATAGCATACAAAAATTTAGGTAAACGGATATCTTATATTCTTATCAAAAACATCTGGGCATAAGGCCAACATTATTTCCCGAGGAAGAACTCAATATAAATGTATATGTAGCCTTGAGCTCCTTTCCAAGGGTAAGTAATTCGAAGTGTCGTATGACCTTACTAATCAGAGTTTTCAATTGGAGGTTGGCAAACTTCTGACCCATGCAGTTCTTGGGACCTGCACTAAATGGAATATATGCAAAGTTGGGAAGCAAAGCGTTTTCACCATCCATCCATCGTTCGGGCTTGAAAGTCTGGGGATCTGGAAAGTATTCAGGATCTCGCAGGACATAGTAGGGCATCAGAAAAATATTCGTGTTGCCTGGAATGGTTTGCTCCCCAATCTGCACGTCGTTGGGAATATATCTTCCGATTATAGGAACTGGTGGGTGAAGACGCATTGTCTCCTTAATAACGCAGTCCAGATATTTCCTTCTACAAGGCAAAAATTATAAAATGATAAGTCCCCTGATGAGTCAATTCACCCACTTATTGGTCGGTAGATGCCGTTTGCCTTTGTGCGCTCCAGAATTTTTCGGCATTCAATATTTCAGTTACTTAAAAAATTGTTTTTAATAGTAATCTACCTTGTGCAAATTTATAAATTTAGAACTTTTGATTAACTTTTTTTTTTAACACCTCCACGTCTGATACCTAGCACTCTTATTAATAATCTTTGGGGTACGTAAGTCATAAATATTTATTTAATAGGTTAAAATGATTATCTATTCAAATAAGCGCTATATGCATCATAATTAATGAATAGAAACGTATCGCTGCTCTAATTACCGACTTCATACTGTACACATTTAAGCCTTTAAATTGGTAAATTAGAAGCAAATAAGTAATTATTAGTTTGATATTCTAATTACCCTCGCACTAACGATTGACCTTCTTTAAGATTCCAATCCCAAAACTTTCAAAACAAGACAACAGATTTGAGCTCACGGCATAAGGCCGTGTTATAAGAAAAATAAAAAAGGAAACACAAAGCGTTGCACAATACACTTTGCGGCATCCACATGTGGCATACTTAAACAAAAAGTCCTGTCGTCATACTTCACCCCACTCCCACTCCCAGTCAGCTGTTTGGAGCCATGGCTCTTTGGAACCCATGTCCGTGGACAAGTGCGCTATAATTGGCCTGGCCCGAGCGACTCCGTTGCCAATTGCAATTCCTACAGAAAGACCACATCACTACACCTAAAAAAATATTTGTTTTTTGGGAAACTATATATTTTTATTTTTATAAAGTAAAATAAAAACACTACCTAAAATAAGTAAGCATGTACATTTATTAAAAGAACCGTCTAACCAACAATTTAAAATATAATATGAGAATAATACGACTACGAACACAAAAGTATTTTATCGGTATGGATTCCAACAATCTTTGTTTTCTTTACTCTAATAAAAATAAAAATGTTTTTACTATTAAATAAATTGAAAACATTCTTAGTCTTTTATTTTTTACTATGACCCGTTATCACATGTATTAATTAATTCATTCATTAAATATTTTTATATTCTACTCAAGTGGCAAAGATTATTTGAATTCTCAAAGTAATAATCCGATGGAAAGATAATAAATTTAATGGTAATGGTTTTTTCTCTATGCAGCGAAATCGAAACGCAGTTTTTTATAGCCCAAGCGGGGCACAAGGTTAGTAGATTTGTGGACTTTCGGTGCGTTCGATTTCAATTTCGATTTCGTTTGGCAGTTTCTGTGTCGCGACTTGATTTTGTTATTGGCATCTGTGACTTCAGTTTTGGTTTCGGATTCGTTTGGGGTTTTCTCGCCGCTCTTTATGGCATTTTTGCAATTATGAATGGCCCGGGTCTCGGTCCGCATTCTAAATGTCAATGTTATTGCACCCGAACTGCTCGGGTGTCTTTTTCTCTGGCCCCCGTGCATCCATGCATCTGCAAGATATTTTCGTGTTTTCAATTCGCTTTGATTTTCATTTGGCGGTATTCATGGCAAAAGAGGCGGTGGTTGACTTTTGAGTAGTTGTGTGCAAGCTGATCGCATGTGGAATTTCCGCTATTCACGACGACCCACCTTAAAAGTCACAGACTCCAGTCCGACTTCGACTTTGATTTGGAATCAGAAAATATTTGAACTGCTGTACACTATCGAAAAGGTATTATTCTGATGGAGAAACGTTTGTTACGTTTTGTAGAAATAATAACTATGGGTTGTCCTTATGTTAAAAGATACATAAGCTACAATTGTCTGTTGTTAAGCTAAAGCTAAAATAAATATTAACTTGATTTTTAAAAAAGCCAATTTAATTAATACATTCTACAAAAAAAACTGTTATTAGGCAAGATTGAAAGCCAAACATAAATGGAGATTTTTATAATATATCATTTTAAAATTATTCCTTTTTAAGTTCTAGTTATTTCTAGAATATTACAAATATTTCCCTTAATATTAGCATACTATAAATTAATACAAATCGATGTTTTTGGGTTTCTGTCACACATGGGATATGATATATATTCCGCTTTAAAGAGTAGTTCAACCTTCGTTGTAAGCCTTCATTGCATGATACGAAAAATTTCATGCACTTTAAGTTGGGGGCCATAAATTTAACGTGGCTTTGCCCATTGTGCGTTGGCTGCCACTGAGAAATCGAATCAATCATTTTGCACACACGAAAACGGAACAGAATTGGAAAAAATGCAATAGCGCTAACAAAGCGCCGCAAAATTTAAGTGTTTAATTAACACAGAAAGAGTTCAACAAACATAAAAAAAGAGAGGCTCGACAACTTGAAAATTGCTCATACGCTCCGTTGAACTTCAAGCGCCAAAACACGCACAGGGAAACTAAAAAGTGAGTTCGGTTTTTTTGGTTAGTGAATGAATGTGAATACTCAGCTCCAAGGTGTACCAAGCTCTTGATTAATTGTGCAATTGAAATTGAATTAAAAGCGTGTAAATAACTCGAGCAGTGAGGAAGAAATCAAGAGATATGTTAAAGGAGGATTGTGTTTTACCTCCCAAATCGCGTCACCTGATATGCAAAGTGGTAAAAAAAAAGAGGAAAATAAAATCCCACAGACGGACAGTCGGGTTAAATTGAATTTATGGTAAATGCAAATGAGCGGGAAACTAAAGTAAAAATCAACATTGAATTGATTGAGGCGAGAGAGCTAAATATGCGAAAAAAGAAACAACAGAAAATAAAAAGAAACTCTGCTAGCATTGCGTACACGATCAAAATGCTCTCTGCCGATTACGATTAAACACGCTTGTAAATACTGGCTCAAAAAAAAAAAAAAAAACATTAACTGAAAGCAACATAAAAAGAAAAAGCTACAAAATATATATAAGTCAAGCGGCTACTGCATCGAGGTCGAATCGCAAGCGACCCAGGAAAATCTTATCCGATTTTCCAGCCAGAGGACAAACACAGAGGAAGAGGAAAAATCGGTGGAAATAAAAATGGTAATGGAAAGATTTTATGGGGCCACTCAATATTAAAGTTTTCAACCAGCTTCCGTTGGAGATAATAAATTAATAAAAAATTTATATTGTACGACGATTAAACGAGGAAGTAAACTTCAAATTAAGATATGGAAGTTACTATAAATTTTACCTAAAAAACTACAATTTAACATTTTATAGAAAATTAAGAACTGAATACTAAAAGAGGAAAAAAACATATAAGTATACAATCTTCAATACATTTGTTTGTAGTTTATTTTATTAGTAATGACTTTCAAAAATGCCTTAATTCTTATGTTATTACAACTAATTACGAAATAAAGATTAACTGTAATTATTTACTTAACCAATTAAAATTGAAGGGTATCCTCGTCGTGCGATAAATATTCTCCCGCATTTCGCGTCCAATTGAATTCGCTAACTGTTCAACCGAGTGAGTAATGTCCAACATTGAAAACACCAATCGTTCGAAGGGAGGGGGAGCGGATAGAGTTGTAGCTACACCATAGCTCAACCGATCTATATATAAGTAGAGGCAATGGTATGTGTACATTTAAAGCACGGCAATCATCCGCAACGAGGCACATACTCAGCACTCCATAGCCCACGACACACGACAATATTGAAGCGAACGCACTTAAGTGCCCCGTTTCCGTGCCCTCGTCTCAGGTTCCGCCTCCAACTTTGCGGACTTCGAATACAATTCCGTGCCTTATATTAATCCACGTGGAAAAAACTATGCCCGCCTTAAAGGATATCTTATCTAATCTTAACAATATCTTATCTTTTCAATTCAAGAAAAACCATTGTTTCCGGTTATATCATATATAAGTTCTATGGTAACTTAAAATATTTTAACATTCTCAATCTCATTCTCAAATCAAGAATTTTTAATTTGAAAAAATATTTTTAAAATAAACTTATAAACTTACTTATAGAACGGTTTTTTACTTAATCGTAATTTATTTTATTAAAGTTGACTCCCTCAATGCTTTGATTTCTTACACATTTATATTTTATGTACCTTAATAAAATTATATTAGATATATATTTATATATATCATTTTGATAATTTCCTTTTATTATTGTGTATTAATTAATATGACAGCGCTGGATATTCGTTCAAGGAACTAAAGTAATTATTCTTAGCTTCTCAATTTATATTTTTTCGGAGTGTAATCTTAACTCTCCAACGATTCGCATTAAAACCTGCACGTTTCTTACATGCCAGTCGGGATTTTCTATATGTAGAAATAAGTTCATGTGCGCTTGTGTGTTTATTTGGCTTAAGTTTGTGGTCAAACGAGTTTAAATTTATTTATGATTGGATTTGATTTTATTAAATGAAGCAAAAAACAAAAAAAATATAAAGAAAATAAAAACTTCGCGGCGAAGTCAGCGGGAGGTAATCGTAATTGCTAGAGGAGTGCTGATCAATTGATGCGGGTGTTGAGAAGGCGGTGCGGTGAGCGGGATGCTGGCTAATACAGTTGTTAGACAAAGAAACATTCATTTGGTGCCCGACTTCCGCATTGATATAAAAAACACAAAAAATTACACGAAAAAATTCAAAACAAAATAGAGGAGCAAAAAACTTACCACACGAAAACACGAACATCTTGGAGGTCTCTCCACTGCATGAGATCTAATAGTTATTGCTTATGGATTGCCAGAAGAGGCTTCCCCCATGCGAAAGTGTTCCATCGTTTTCCGATCTCGACTCAAATGTCGATTGCTTCGACTCTTATGTTTATTTGCGTTTGATTCAGTGAGCTATTTGCTGTCGTAATATTTTTGCCAAGTGACTCTGTAATTGCCCGCACATCCAGTGCAATTCGCACTAGAGGTGACAGCGTGTTTTACGAGAAAGTAGGAAATATGAAAAATAATTTCTTAAAAAATAAATACAAGTTGTAAAATAAGGGTCAAAAATATACCACAATTAGATTGAATTAGGAAACCAATAGTTAATGGGTAAAACAAGTGGGCATTATTTAAAATATTCTCTTATATATTCTTTCAGCTTTAGGCAAAAAGGTATAGAATATTGAAGCTCTGCTGATCCCATACCACACAGCTGTCTGGA